TTGTTGCTTTGGGTTTTAATTGGCGCAACCTGAATATAATACCATATCCATCTCTATCTTGTCAATTATTCTTTCTTTAAATTTACACTTTTTTTTATTTTATTGTACATTCTCACTTACTTATCATATAGAAAGAGAAATCTTATTATTTTATACCTATATACAATTGGTTGCGGGAGTAGGACTTGAACCTACGACCTTCGGGTTATGAGCCCGACGAGCTACCAACTGCTCCATCCCGCGATATTAATAATCATTAAATCATTTTTCAGCACTAGTTCAGTTGTCAATTTAATCCTTACTACATTAATAAATTCTTTATGACACTGCTCAGACCTTTCTTTGTAATATTTACTAATATATAAAAATGGTGCCTAGGCTTAGGACTTGAACCTACACGGGTTTTCACCCGCAGGATTTTAAGTCCTGTGCTTCTACCAATACTTAAAGTTGTTAACTAGTTTTACATAAATTATTTATATGAGGTATTAAAATTACGGCTAATCTTTTTTGATATGCGTATTACAAACGCAACAGTAAAAAATAAAGGGGGTATTGCTTGCTTAAAAACGTTTCAAATTACTTAAAAAGTAAGTGTAGCTAAGACTTTTTTGTTAAAACAAGCAGTTTTCTTATAATTAATTACTACGATGTCATTTTAATTGGATCACATAGTACTAACTACAGTTATTATTTTTAATTAGAAATGATTGATATACCTCTTTAAGTATGTTATGATTAGCTAAATAGTTAAAGGAGCTAAGTTAAATGAGTATAGCCGATGATAACCAATTTAAGTCATATGTTCTTAAACTTCAAATGTTACTAGCAAATGCAATTGAAAATCAAGGTTGGCAAGCAGCCAAAGTTTTGCTAAATTAACTCCAACAAGATTTAGAAAATGAAAAGTCTGTAATCGGAATTCGAGTCACAGATAAATTTTATTTAGGTGTATTAATATGAGAGAATTAAAGGTTTCTATTTATCTTGACATGCTTTAAAATAATTTTTAATAGTTGCAAACATTTCAACTAAAGAATAAAACTGTATTTTTAATATCGTTTCCAGAAAACCCTCTATATCTATGATGAATTAAAGAAACAAAACCTTGATACTCGTATCATTTTCTTATGCCAAGAACGTTGCTTTTATACAGTTAGTCAAACAAATGAATTGACCTATTTAATTAATAATAAAAACATGATTCATTTTTTAATGAGCATCTTTCATCTCGCTACATCAAAGTATATCATTGCTGACAATTATTATGGCTTTTTTAGCCGTTACAAAATTTAAACCAAGTGTAACTTGTACTCAAATTTGGCATGCTGTTGGAGCTATTAAACAATTTGGCATAAGAGATCCTTCTAATATTAGTCGTACTACAAAAGCAATTAGTAGATTTAAAAGTATATACAAGATTTAATTATATCGTTGTAGGATCAGATTTTATGGGTAATATTTTTCAAGAAGCGTTTTTAGCAAATGACAAAGCAATTTTAAAATTAGGCGTTCCACGAACCGACTTCTTTTTCAATAGAGAACAACTAACAGAAATAAAAGAGACACTTTATAAAAAAAAACCACTATTAAAGAAAAAAAGTAATGCTTTATGCACCTACTTTTCGTAAAGAAGAAAGTGAAATTATTGAAATTAAATTAGACATTGAAGTGATGTATAAAGCACTTAAAACAGAGTATCTGTTGTTAATAAAACTTCATCCAGCAGTCAAATTAAAAGTAGATTTAGTCTCGAAGTACGATGGATTTGCTTTTAATTACAGCTCATATACTAATATTAATGATTTACTACTCATCACAGATGTATTAATAACAGATTACTCTTCGATTCCAATGGAATTTTGTTTTTAAAAGAAAGGTGATTTTTTACCTATGATTTAGCAGCATAAAAAAAACAATGGTCTTTGGGAAAACTACGAACAATCTATTCCAGGACCAATTGTGAAAAGTACACATGAAGTCATTAATGCCATCTTGCACCAACCAATTAATATAAATATGATAGCTGACTATGCCAAGAAATGGACAAAGTACTGTGATGGGAAAATAGTGCAAAACTTATTAATGCGTTATATAATACCGATGATTAAATTTAATGTCATCGTTTTTTATATCTTAAATATTTGCTCTAGTTGATGATCGATTAAAGATAAGATATTCCCTTTTAAGTCATAAGACCTCGGTTCAAATACTTTTAGTTGATTAAACATTTCAGCTATTTTATCACCATCATTAAAAACCAACAAATAACCCATACTCTGTAGTTTTTCAGCTAATTGCAATTGATGATTATCAACATGCTCTCCATACTTATGCAACCTTGGAAAAACAATTGTTTTTTTTTGAGATTTAATTGCTTGAAACATCGATCCTGCACCCCCATGGGTTATAATATAATCTGCTTTTTTATACAGTATAGATAAATTTTCCCCTGAAATAAAGTCAAATATTTTCATTTTATTACTGGTATATTCATTATGGCCTGCTTGTACAACTATTTGTTGCTCATCGGCTAATTTTTCTACTTCTCTAATCATCCTAGAAAAGTCTTGTTTTTGTGTACCGAGTAATACAAGTATCAAAACAAAACACCTCCATAAATGGCCTTGGGATAAACGTCTAACAACTCTTCCCATTGAATATAAAAATTCGGATGTAATTTTATACATGATCTTACCTGTCATTGTCGCTTTATTTACAACTGCAGCTGTCTCTATATAGATAACCTTACGCCTAAATAACCATCCTAAAATACATAAGGGTATTGTTGAATGTACACCTGTTGAGATAATAACTTTTGGTCGATATTTAATAAAATAAATAAATGACAACAAACAAACATATAGAAATTTAAAGAGATACTTAAATCCTTCATTTTTTGAACCGTAAGGAAGATATTCTGTTGTTAAATTCGTCGTAAGTGAAATCTTTGTTTTTTCCGTTACAACTATCCCACCATATTTTTCTATTAATGGTGCTAATTGTAATAATTCTGTATAATGACCCCCAGCACTTGAACAAAATAAAATTTTTTCCATTTTTCATTTTATCACCATACTTATAATCAATCTTTGTTAAACAACATCTCCAAATTCTACCTTTGACTTTTTCTTTGCACTTTCAAAGTCAAAGGCATTCATTGGATACCCTAATAAATACTTTATCATTCCCTGTTGAAGTCCCTTTATGGAATTATCAACAATAATCGCTTCATTATTTTGTAAATACTCAGTTGTTTCCTTAGATCTACCGTCACAACTCCAATTCCTACTGCTAACGCTTCATACACAACCAATCCAAGGCCTTCATAATGTGATGATAAGACAAAACAATTACACTTGGCAAGTAATATGTAAGGATTACTCATCCTACCCAAAATATAAATTTTTGAGCTTACAGCACTCTCTTTTACAAGTTTAAGCGTCTTATCACGTAATGGACCATGTGGAGCAACAATAATCAATCTAGTATGCTCATTTTCTCTATAAACACCTTCAAAGGCCTTAATTAATCGGTCATGTGATTTTTGGTAATCAAAGCGACCAATGTTAATAAAAATCGAAACATCATCGTTAGCCAAGTCAAGAAATAAATTTACTTTATCACCATGTTCTATCTTAACATCATCATCTGTTTCAAACAAGTCTGCTTTCGCTAATTCTCGAATGCGTTCTTCACCCAAAAAATTATTCATGACATACGCTTTATTGGTAACAGTTGGAACTGCTTTAATTAATCCCTCTTTTAAATTAGTATGCACCACTGCAATTTTCTTTACATGTTCATAAGCTGAAAAAAACAATCTTCTTACTAAAGCTTTTCTTTGCTTTATACTCAGCCACCATATCAGTATGAACATACATTACCGTATTAACCCCACTAGGGACATGCTTAATTAACTCAGAATACCTATTTCCAAAACCAGTAAAATGAATAAAATGATCAACTTTTAGATCTCCCATCATACGTTTATAATCCTTCTTTACAACTAATTTTACACGACTTTGAATCCAACTACTATCAAACCATTCAAATTTTAGATAAGCTAAATATAAAAATCGATCTAGGATACCTGCAGTTAAAGTTTCAGGAAATGGATAAAAAATAATCTTATTAGATAAATTCTTAATCCTGAACTCATATTCTTTCTTTAATTGTTTTTGACCCAACAGTACAACATAATTACGTTGATCTAAATCAATATTGTTAAACGTATTTATCAATGCAGTTGTCACACCATTATCCCAAAAACCACCACTTAAGATAAATACAGTTTCTTTTTCATTGAAAACACTAAACTCTTTAATGGTATCATATTGTGCTTGCTTAAATAGATAATCAAAAATCACCCATTGATTCTTTTTGTAGTTATCGTCATCAAATCTTTTAATTACTAGTGGAGCGATAACTATTTTCCCTTGATAAATACCATTTAATCCATAACGCTTAATCAAAGTATTGATAAAACTTTCATCATTAATTACAATTTTATCTGCCATATAAAAGTTACGCTGTACATTGGCACTATTAGTTAGAGATGTACTATTTTGACATGAGAAGTCCACAGATGCTTCATGATAAAAATGAATATATTTTTGATCAGCTTTTTTAATAAAAAAGGGCTTAAAAAGCGCATCGTTCAATAAATATTCTGCAGTTGCTAATAATCGTAAATATTCTTTAGACATATACCGAACAACATTAATTTGACTAAAATTAAATCTATTTATAAACGCATTTACATTTTTACCATTTTGAATGGCAACATATATTTTTAGATTAAGATTGTTTTGATCCAATTCATGTGAAAAATAGGATGTATATCTATAAAAAGCTTTTACTTCCCTTAACTCTAGCAGGACAACCTTCTTTTTTACTTCCAACTTCTCATAATAAAAATAGTATATAGGCTGTTGATATAAAAATAGTTTAATATCTTCTAATAATTTACTAATAATTATCAACTCCATTTTTAAAAAATTAGCCGCTATTTTTAAAATAAGGTGTAACTTACACTAACTCGTTATTTCCTCTCTACAAATTAATTGTTTTAATTGAGGCTTATTTATTAAAAAATTCAGTCTTGGCTTCATAAACTTTTTTGTATAATTTGACTGTTAAATCAGAAAATAATGCATTAAAATCTTTTAGCTTTTAAGCACGTTCTCAACTTTTATAACTTTACGCCCAATCTTCACATCTCGTTTAGTTTCTCTAATTAT